CCCCGCGAGTATCGCGGGTCCCCCCTTGTACAATATAATTGCGTAAAAACAACATTAAAATACTTGAAAACAGTAAGAAAAACTGTTTTTAAGTATTTCAAGATGATGGTAATTTCCACTACCCCACCCCCTTTTGCCTGATGATCATGTGATCAGCTTGGGAAACAATTAATTTGATCCAACAAGGATAGTATGTGCAGAGAAGAGAAGAAGAAGAAATTGGATTTATACCCTGCCCTTCACTTGGAGTCTCAGAGCAGTTTACAAACTCCTTTCCCTTCCCCTCCCCACAACAGACACCCTGTGAGGTGGGTGGGGCTGAGAGAGCTCTGACACAAACTGCTCTTTTTCAAGGACAGCTGTACCAGAGCTTGTGACTGACCCAAGGTCACATCAGCAGGTGCAAATGGAAGAGTGGGGACTCAAACCCGGTTCTCCCAGATTAGAGTCCGCGCACTTAACCACTACACCAAACTTAACCACTACATGTACCTTACGCATGCAGATTGCCATTCTGCATGTGTTAAAAGGATGCATGGAGTTTTAAAAAAATCCTCTTCATCTGCCATTTGGGGATCAGTACCAATCCTCTGTTGAGCAGGGGAGATCTTCTGAGTTTATGCATTGTAAGTTTAATATATGGAAAGTTTGGTTTTAGGAAATAATTGTACACTTACAATCGTGGAATATAAAATAGTGGTCCTGTAATTTTGGGCCATTTCTACACTTTATTCCCTTCTAAAGGTTTCATTTTATCTTGTTTTAGTAGTAAAAGCAGAAATTAATGGGTAGCAAAATTTACTATGAAATCTTTGGCTGAACGATTCCTAAAATGCAGGTGCAACTGGCATATGCCCAGGAAGTTCAGGTCAGTGATAAATTGAAGTCTTTCCAAAACAGTTGTAATGGAAGAGGGTTAATTTTGGAAATGCCCCACCTTTGATAGGATTTCACTAATGTACGTAGTTAAAATAATTATGTTGGATATTGGTTCTTGTTCCTTGGTAACTGGGCCAGCAGGGGATAAATTCCATATCCCCTGTGTAGAACAGAGGTGCCTCTGGGCATGATTTTTCCAGTTATCACTGGAGAGAAAGGGTTTTGAAATGGAAGTGGATTGCATTTTATGCCTCCACATTTAGGTCTAATATAGGAGGCCAGGTTTGCTTATTGACACTGGTTTAGTGGCACTCTTCACGTCAGAAAATTGCACATTTGGGTCAGGAAGAAAAGAAGTATTAAAAGTCTCTCTGTAAGAAGAGGAGGAGGAGGAGATTGGATTTATACCCTGCCCTTCACTACCCAAAGGTCTCTCAGAGCGGCTTACAAACTCCTTTCCCTTCCCCTCTCCACAATAGACACCCTGTGAGGTAGGTGGGGCTGAGAGAACTCTTGACAGAAACGGCTCTTTTTCAAGAACAGCTGTGCCAGAGTTATGGCTTGCCCAAGGTCATCTAGCCAGGTGCAAGTGGAGGAGTGGGGAATCAAACCCGGCTCTCCCAGATTATAGTCCACGCACTTAACCACTACACCAAACTGGCTCTCGAGTATGAAAAGTCTCTCTGTAACTGTTTCATTACACCTGTAACGGTTGAGAATGTGCATACAGAATCTTAACCCTTAACATGCTGTTGTTTTGTTAATTTTGAAGAAGCAGAGATTTGGGATTACTTCTGAGAAGGGCTAAAGGAATGACATGCTTGGTGTTGTGATTTCACTTTGATCCCTTTCTTTGGCCAGGCCAAAGTGCTTTCTCTCTCTGAAGAAGACTTTGATAAAGAAGTTTCCAAAGGGATCACCTTCATCAAGTTCTATGCTCCATGGTAAGTCATGCACACAAAATTTTGGGGACTGCTGGTATTTAGCATTCTGTTCCCTCTTTCGTTCCAGTGCGTGTTTTACCTACTTAAGTCTTTTGAGTCTAATTGTGCACACAATACCTTTTTACAGCCTTTACGCATAAGTAAATATTCATCTTACCTGGTAGTAGTTATTTCCTGTCTTCATGTCATGCTGGGATTAGATGAAGCTACTCCTGATAAACTCTTAACTTGCTTGTAACTAGGGGTATGCAAATCACCTCGGTATTTTTCAGGTTTGGGTATACTGAACATGAAAAATTTTGGTATTTCCCGATATTCCTGAATCCCAATACCGGTATGGTATTTGAATTCGGTAAATATTCGGGAAACCCGAATTATTCTGGCTTTATACTATTTGGGGGCCGTTATAGTCAGTGGTCCCCATAGGGTATAAAAGAAAATCAATCCGGGGCTTTGGGGGGGGCTGTTTTTTGAGGTATAGGCACCAAATTTGTAGTATAGCTGCTGGTGCCGTTCCTCCCCCCCAAAAAAAAGTCTCAAAAAGATTGGACTGGGGTCCATTTTTGTGAGCTCCCCAAAGAATGTGCCACTATCCTCCATTGCTTTCATTGGAGGGGGAAAGACATTTAAAGGGACCACGATCCATTTAAATGCCTTCTCCAAGCCTCACAACTCTGTGGCAAGTGACCTCCGAAGGCCTTTAAAAGGCTTGCAGTTCCTTTAAACACCTCCAAATGGTGAGTTCACCCAGAAGGCATTTAAAGAGACTGCGATCCCTTTAAATGCCCTTTAAGTTCAGCTATTCAGTGGTCTCGAAAATCCTGAATATTTTCTGGATTTTCGGGGCTTGGCCATTTTGGATAGCCAAAATTAATCCCCAGTCATTAACTGGCTTTAAAAATACCCAGAAAAAACTGGTATTTTCCAGTTATTTTTTTGGCTCGGTTTATGCCAAATGCACACCCCTACTCTTAACACCTTACTTGTAGCTGCAATGGAGCGATTGGCCTGGGTGTGTTACATTTAGTTCTCCCAGTGACTTAATATTTTGTTGTTAATTGCTGCTAAATTTTGGTATGGATAATGGATTGGCCCAGCACGGTAGTTGCTTCTAGTACAGGACTACAGCGTCATGTTTCGGCAGACTCAGATTTGCCAGGTGAAGGTTACCTCATATGTTACCTTTCTTACTTTGTGAAAGATTCCTAAGTACAACGAACACACATTGGCTTGGTCCAGATGTTTTCCTCAATGCGTGGATGGGGAATCATCTTCTGTGCTTTGTGCACAGGAGAACTGGGTTCAGGGTACAAAATGTAGTCTGTGAAACAGCTCTAAGAGTCCCAAATGCG